TGTGTGAATCTGTAGACTAAATACTCCAATTAAATAGCAGATCTTCTGAGAGTTAAGAAGTTAGATCTAACTAGATATATGCTGCCTACAAAGCAGCCAATTGAAATGTCAAAAGACAAATACATTCAGGATGAAGAAGAACTATAAGTAGGAAGACTATAAGTAGGAAGCATAGAAAAACCAGTGTGGTTGTATTAACAAAAGGCAAATCGACTTTAAGGCAAAATGTACATCAGGTTATGAAGTTGGATATTTTATACTGCTAAAACAATCCATTCATCATGAAGAATTAAAATCTTAGATATGTATGCATCTAACAATAAGAAATCAAAACTCAGGAAGCAAAAGCTGATAGAACTGTGGGGAGAAACTAGCAACCCAATACTCACTATGGGAGATTTTCAGTAACACCATCCCAATAGCTGATAATACAGAAGACAAGAAAATCAATAAATAAAAAGATAACCTAAACGACAATACCCAGCCATTCTAATGCAATTGACAATTACAGAATAATAGGCACACAATTTTTCAAGAACACCTAGAATACTCACCATGACAGAATATGTGCAAGATATAAAATAAACCTTAATGTATTTCAAAGATAAAATTTCAGAGTATGTTCTCTTCTCAAATTGGAGTTAAATTATAAACACATAGCAAATATATACATAAAGCTAAAAACAATTGGAAATTAAATAATTCACACCTATATACACCATGAGACAAAGGAGAAATCAAAAGAAAATTAGAATGTTTCATACTTAATGATAAGAATGCCATAGATTAATATTTATGAGGCAATATTTAACCAGTGATTGCAGGCAGATTTATAGCTGTAGTATCAGAAAATAAGAACTAAATTACTAACGCTACTAAAAGAAGAGCAAATTAAATTCAAATTAAGGAGCAGGCAATTAATATTAAAAGCCAGAACAGAAATCATAAAAGTAAGTATACACACACAATGGGAAAAGACTCTAAAAGCAAAAATTGATTCTTTCAAAATTTTAATAAAATTGATAAACATTCTGCAAAAAATTAGTAGAAAAGAGGAAACATCACCAAATGTGTATTTAAAATCAGATATTGCTATACCATACAGATGACAAGACAGAAAAGGAACGACTTAATGCCAATTAATTCAATAGCACAATGGATGTATTCCCTAAACACTTCAACATCCCCAAACTGACTCCAATGGAAAAGGAAATTTCAAGGGTGTTCCTCTCTCTACTAAATTTTCCGGATACAGAATTGGACGGTTTTCCACAAAGAAAAAAGATGAGAGAGAGAAAGAAAGCCACAGAGAGAGAGAGACAGAGACAGAGACAGAGAGACATACAGAGAGAGAGAGAATATTAAAATATATAAAAACACAAGAGAAAAATGACAAATGAGAAGCACAAAATAACACAAGAAAGAATTCCTAATGATTTAGAAAAGCCAATACATAGAAGAGAATTATCAGGTCCTTTAAAAAATAGTTTGCAATTTCAAGAAATAATGAAATAAATTTAGCACTAAAGTCTTCCAAAGACTCAAACTTGCAAATGTGTGCTATTAACAGAATGGTCAAAGGAGTAAACAGATAAAAGTAGTAAATGAGGCCATATTATTACTTAATATTAGACAAAATGCATTTTAAGACTAAAAATAGCAGTGGGGTTAAGAGAAATCCACAGGATGACAAAAGATCTAATTCTTGCATCCTGTTTACACCGCAGACAACTGTGAATTTGCATCCACTTAGCTACGTGAGAGTTGTAATACATGAGCAAATTAGATATTTTCTATCACATCATCACAATGGGAAATTTTATCACACATGTTTAAAATATTTCTCCAGTTCTTCATATAATAAGAAAACAAACAATTAATGAATAACATTGAATGTTTGAACAAAAGCAGTAGGTCCATGTGGAACCTTACACCTAACACATATGATTGTAAACATATTCTTCTCAAGTGTGCATTTACCACAACTGACGGAGTACCAGATTTTATTTTTACTGATTATGATTTTAGTCACAATAAAAATAGAGATCATGCACAAAGACATCTCACAAGGAAAGACTCCACTTTTTTTGTTTATCTTGGTTTATCTTTAATTCTTAGTTTGTTATTTTAAAAACTGGCAAGTGTCAGGAGGTATGTATCTTCCTCTAAATTCAGTGCTTATGCCCACTCCTAATTCTCACAATCTGCCGTGATGTTACAACCAAACTGTGTATCTGTGCTACCTAAATAAACATGCTATCAACAGTACTTTATTAAGGAACCCTTACTCTTTTTTTTAGCAATAGCTTTGAATTACTTGTGCTTTTATTTTTATTATTTTCCTTTGTGTACTCAAAGAATTCTTTTTTCATGAAATTATACATTTGGTGCTTTCTTAAAATCCTACCTACTGTACTCTAGTTCCTAGACTGAGTCCTCCCCCGCTTCCTATTAGAGTTTATGTATCTCACTGCATTCTGACAGGGGACAGGAAGAATCTCACACATCCACATTCTTCTGGCCTAGCTTTCAAAGCCACAGAGTCTCATTCCCTCACAGTTTGTTAGGTAGAGCAGTTACAAGCTCCTGCTCAGATCCAAATGAAGGAAATGCCAGCCACATTTTCAATGGGACACAAGTTGGTCACATGGGAAATGCACACAGGATGGGGTACATATCGCATGGATGGCCAAAGTACAGCCTATCACAAAACTTGGATAAAAGAATGCACACAATGCATGAGCTTGTAATTGATATTAAACTAAGAAGGATGATGATTGTTTTAAAAAGTACTAAAAAGCAAACTTTTGTTGTTGTTGTTCTGATACCTGAAAAAGTAGTATAAAGGTTAAGTTTTAAGGTCAGACACACAGTAGTTCAAATTAATTACCCGATTTGTAAAACCAACATGGTTATGTCCCACACAGTTGTCAGAGTTTAGTGAGAGAATGGCTTTAGAGCACTGTTAAAGTAATTAGACTGGTACCAGACACAAAAGCGATGTTTTCACTGTTAGGAAAAACTCACTGAAATTTTTTAAAATGAAGAATATTTGAAAATAAAAAAGGAAAATAAGTCACTCATAATTGCACCATTGAGGATAAATGAAACTCATTTTTAAAAGCGATCTTGACAGAGCAGGATAAGAGTCTTACAAAGAAGATGCAATTTGGGAGGAAACTGGTGGGAACAGATGAAAAGTCTGCCCTGCACCACCTCATGGTTTTCACCAAATGGGCAGATGCAGATCTGGGGGTGCAGGAGAGGCTCACAGCACGGGAAGAGGACCAAGACCCAGAGGAAGGCAGTGGGAGTTCAACAAGAAGGTGGTGCACATGCAAAGCCCAAAGCCCAGCAAGCCCAAGATCTGGAAGCCAGGGGAAAATGCCTGCCTACCTGAGTAGCATGAATTGAGAGAAACGGGGTCTCCCTGGGAGAGGGCTGGAGCTGACTAGACCGGAAGTGAATGCTGAATCAAAATTCGGGTGTCAACTTAGGCAATTTAAACTTTACTTTTGTAGACACTGAGAAACTTCAGAAGGTTCTGCAGAGAAAAGGGCATAAGTAACAGAAGTGTCTTCTGTATAACTTCATGTGAAATATGTCAGAACCTAGAAACTCAGGAACTTAGTGCAAACAGATTAGAGAACTTAGTAAAAAAAAATTTGGAAAATGGAAGAGTCAATACTTAATACAATAAGTAAAAGAACTAAGTATGTAGAAAGATAGACGAACTCTATGGCCACATAACAGATTTGGAATACAGGTATAAAAATAACATGATGCCAAGAAATATTGAGATAAAACATGGCAGAAAAAGGGCTATATGTGATAAAAGAAGAATTTGTAGAGTAATTCTATTCATTAGTCTTAAATGTGAGATATAAATGAATTAAGAAGCCAAACAAAGTTTTTTTTTTTTTTTTTTTTTTTTTTTTTTTTTTTTTTTTTCTTTTGTGGTACTGAGCATTAAACCTAGGACCTTCACACAAAGCTATATGCCTTTATTATTATTATTGTATTCAAAATCTCACTAAATTCCTAAGTTGCCCAGGCTGGGCTCTAACTTGCAATTTTCCTGCCTTAAAAAGGGCCAACATAATGCATTATCAGAGCTAAAAAAGATGTTTGATGACAATTAATCACAAGTACAGAGAGAGGGCATTAGTGAGAAGACATTAGTGCCTTTTACTTGGTTTCTGCAATAAATCTGTGGAGAACTGTGCAACACAAAAACCGTCTTATACAGCAAACAAGTTACAGTTTCTGAGAGTAACACATCATCTTTGCACACACCTTCTGTCTGTCTGCCTGCCTCTGCCTGTCTCTCTCTCTTCTGATTTTCATAATAAAATTCAAGTAATATGCATCCCTGAAAATCTTTAAGAAGAAGCAGCACTAAAATACTTCATAAGTTTATTTCCTTAAAGACCTTAATATACTTCTAACCCCATGTCCTGTGCTATTCAGTAAGATTCTCTGTGAAACCCAAGGGTCCTGCCTGGAGGAGATGATGCTAAGGGGAAAGGGACTTCCCTCAAAGTCATTGGAGCTGACTAACCACTGGTTCGATAGGCATATGGTATCATCACCTACTCTATATGCAATGGGGTGAGATTTTTAAACAGCACTCAATAATATCACTCAGATATAAAGAAGAAATAAGCTTCTATAAAACTCTTCCTGGAACCTGGAGGAGTAGGTATAAAGTCCTAAAGAAACCAATTTACATTATCTTGTTTCTGGTCCAGCTGCTAATTTACTCTGCATACTTTCTGTTCCCCACATGTCCACCTTAGCACTTTCCCATAAGTTTTGGAAGTTATGTATCTTAGTTTCCCCAAAGCATGTCTTATCCTCTGCATTTAATTTACTCCCCCAGTAACTTCAATTTTCAACAACTTTACATTTTCAGGATGTGGAATTCTATTTTAATCCTCTCAGAGGGTGTGCCTTGCATATTTGCAAGTCCAACACACAAACACCACAAGCCTAGAATCATCTAAATTAATGTTTCCTGTAAGTCCTGCTTGAGGAAATAGAAATTTTCAAGTGCTCTAGAATGAAAGCCATTCATGGGAGTTAAAGACCAGTGAATCACATCATAATCAACTAAAAAAGAAATAGTCATTGTGTGCAGAGAACAGAGATTCAGGAGGCCAAGGCTACCTCCCAGAAAGAGGAATGCAGGCCTGGGAAATTATAGGTATCCCATCCCAGCGGGAGGCATTCAGTCCTAGAGACCTGTTCCTAAAGTTCTGTGTTAAATCTCACGATCCACCTGCCAACGACTTCCTTTGTTCAGCTACAACTTTTGAAGACTCAAGAATAACAGCCTGAACAGCAGCCCAGACCCATAAGGCCTCAACTCATAAGCCTTGGAACTACCTGCCTTTCATGCATTGGAAGCGAACACCTGCTGGTTACCACAGAGAAGGAGGTTTCATCCTTTCTCAGCTTTACCATTTGATTTTAAGCAACTAGCTGGGGAAATTCAGAAGTTAATGAGCCCTTCTCTTGTCCTTGGAAGAGTCACAGGATGCAGCTGTCAGGAAGAATGGTGTAGAAGTCTTACAGATACTCTGGAATCGTCAGGTAACGTCCTATTTTATATTTACCAATTAACGACAGCCTGACAGCTAGAACACCACCTTTCGTAATTTCTCGAACAAAATGGGGTCAGATGTTTCTCCTTAATCAGCTACATTTTCTACACACATTCTTACAGAACTTTCAAGAAAAGCAAAATTTCCTTTTTTTTCCCTTGTAAGAACAAGGGAAAGAACAGCACACATTAACAGAGAATTACTAGAATTTAGAGGCCCTGGAAGGTCTTCCCGGTATCTCATCTCATCCAGACACTGAGCTGGTATCTAGAGATCCCATTCAAAATTTGTAAATAGTTTCTGGCACACTCTGTTTAGGTGAAAGTAACTTTCCGCAAAAGATAATTTTAAGCTTCTGGACATGCAATAAAACCTTTATCTTGGCATATTCAGAAATGCCTAACTCAGGACCAGGACTTTTAGTCAGAATAAACACTTCACTGAGATGTAATGTTTAAAAAATAGTTGAGGCAACAGTGTCATAGAACACATTTAACATAATCATATTTATCCTTACACTGATAAGTTATATTTTGCTTTAATAAATTTTATTTCGAATTCTTTTACCAAGGTTAAATTCCTAAGTGTACATGAGTGGGATAGTAACCAAGTAACCATTTTTTTGTTATTCTCATTATCATAAAATATTAAGCACATAAAGACAGCTTAAGATCACTCTATAACAGATGCTCTAGCACAAAGTTCACAATCAAGCAAAAATTGATTTGTCGTCAACATGCTAATTATCATCTTGTCATTGGCAGTCCTGCTTTATGGCGAAGATCAGGTCAGCCTGGAGAATTTCTCAAAACAAATTTGCGTATTGATTCTCTTGTCTCTCCAATGTGCTTTTGATGAGTTACACATACTCGGGGACTACATCTTTCAGAGATATCATTTTTAAAAAACTCTAATTTCTTAAAAATGTGTTTTAAGGTTGAATTTTGACTATTCAAACCTTATGCTGGAAGAATGTGTTTCTCAAAAGGGAAATAAAACATTTTAAAATAAATCACTCCCTTTGGATAAAAAAACAGGTGAACTCATCTCAACATGTTTATGACAATGAAAATACTTAAGAAATATACAATCATCATTTTTGGTTTGTGCAAATGACTACAAAAAAGCTAGGATGCTTATTATGTGTAATTTTATTGAAAAACTCTGACAATAACTTGCTACCACATTCCTGACATTCTAAGTACCAATATCTACCTACTTTCTTTCATTTTCTTTCCTTTTCACAACCATTAAAGCCAGGTTTTATTGATTCCTAAGAAAACCCTAGAAGGAAATTATCTTGGAGACTGATTTCCACTTTAGCAACTGAAAAACCAGGATAGTAACGATGCTACAATTCCAAGTAAGGTTCTATTTCATGGCATATGTGATAGCTGCTGGTTTCCAAACCAGCAGACCAGCACGTCTAGAACGAAGAGGAGTGCAAATGTTCCATTCAAAATTTCCCTTTATGCCTTTAATAATTCCCCTGCATCTCTTCCTTAATAAAAAACAACTCCAAAATATTAGCTATGGGGCTCTTTTGCATTCAATTTCTCAAGTAAATGAGTCACTCTGTTCTCTAAGACAGCTTTTCCTAATGAGCTGCTTTATTTGGGCTGAAGCAGTGGCGACCCTGAATGTGTCAAGCAACAAAAATAACTGCTTAAAACCAATGTGTCTGATGAGAAACAGCCAACGACATTTGGTGGTGAGTAGCTGCTTCTCTTCCCTTCCTTCTTCTCCCTGCCCACACCAGTATCTGCCATCACTTGCTGTATGTTGTCATAGTTATGCCAGATTTTAGAGTAGCATTTGAAATGCAGGTTTATGTTACTGAACGAAATGTATCCTTTTCTAAAACCCAAAATATTTTAAATGTCAGAGCTATGCATCAGAGTAGAGAACAGAGTCTCAGACTCTTTAATAAAACACACACATACACACACACATATTCATAAAGGAAAGATTTGGCCTTATGAATTTCATTTTGTATTTTTTTTTTTTTTTACTTTGGTAAATTTTTGAGGTTCTGAGACTAGGTATCAGATGAAATTACTTAGTGATCCTTGTGTGAGTTACTTTTCTTGTTCCTCAGATAAAAGACCTGACATTCAAAGTTAAAGGAGGGAAAGCTTTATTTAGCTCAGTTTGTTGAAATTTCAGTCCATAATCAGCTGGCTCCAAGGCAAGTTGGCATGGCAGACGGACATTACAGAAGAGAAATAGTTCATGGCAGCCAGAAGGAAGTAAAACAAGCAAGTCTCTTATATTGTATTCAGGCTAGCACTAAACCAGTGAGTTGATTTAGTAAGATATATATATATATATATATATATATATATATATATATATATATATCACTCACCCTTAATCCTAACACCCAAAATCCCTGTGTTGCCTCATGAATCAATCACACACTCCAGATTCAGCCATCTCTGAAAAAGCCCCAGCTACTATGACTGCTGCATGCTTTGGAGTGACATCTAGACAAAAGCCATAAGAATCCTCAAACAAGTAAACTCTGATGTATGGGCCTTTGTACAATCACCTTAGAATTAAAGACAACCAGTCTACTAAGCAATATGCTGACATGTATGCAGAAAAATTTGAACCACAATATCTTGCATTATTAATATGACACATTACAATTATTATTACATAATTCATGATTATACCTGTTTTCTGTTGCACCTGCCTCAAAGGATTGCAAGAATTAAATGAAACAATGCAAGTAAGTTCTCCATACAAACTTATGTTAAACTTATGTCACAGTAAATTGGAGCTCTTGTTTGGATTACTAATTCCATTGTCTTCTGTTAGTGATGCATATGTCTATTTGATCTATCTTCCTATATGTTAGATTTTTCTGCACATTAGCATTAAAATTAGTGGCTACCAACTTTCACTCATCTCAGCTTTTCTTTCCTGAGGTTATTGAACCATTCACATTACCTGAACTTCTCTCAGTTTTGTGGTTCTTTATTTCATTAAGTTGGATTAGAAACAGTAATACATTGACTTTGTATGAGCTTTACAAAAAATATTTAACTTTTGCTTATCTAGTCCATTAAAAACTGTACCATCTCCCAGATATTTTCTCCTGTCACTGATCTCCACTAGTCCTATATTTTTAAAAAATATTTGCTGGTATGTGCATCTTGGGGGTTGGCGTGAGCACACAGCACATTTTCATTCTTTGAATGTCCCCTTCTCCTCCTCTCCTCCCTCTTTTCATGTTTGGCCGCCTTCCCATTTGCAGCAGTACCGGTCTTCCATCAATTTCACTTGCAAAGCTTTAATTTTAACTCCTTTTAAAGAGTTTTTGGGAAACTGACCGAAAAAAACCAGTGTTGTCGCTTTTGAGAGGTAAAGGTCTGTGTGAAGATGCAGTATTCCTGTGAAGGACCAAATATTACAGGATTAACCTTAAACCATAAATAAATTATATTTTAGAGTATGCTTTTGTGATTATTGACTGTAGTATGTCAGCTGGACTTGAGTAAAAACCACCAAGCAGATCCTTAAAGCTCTGGGTGTCCGTCTCTGGATAATTGTAAGACAGGCCAGAAACTGAAACAAGAAGACTGATCTTGGATGTGGGTGGCCTGAGGCTTGCAGTTTGAGGGGAATAAAAAGGAAACCACGAAGGGAGTCTCTTTATGCTCCTTTGGAAGAGCTCCAGCCTTCACCATTGCCTTAGATGCTCGTCCTCAGCTTCCAATGCAGACTCTTAAGCCTTTCAACACAGACTCTCAAGAGATTCTGTGAGACCTTAACTGCTAATTGCTTCAATTAACTCTTTAAGACACAAATAAAATATAAATATGCTCACTTGATCTTCAGCAGCAAGCCTGTACTTAAAGCATTTGAACTATTTTGAAATCGTTTGCAACAGTATAATGATGTGTATTCTGAAGAAGGAAAATGTTTCTGAGGTTTAGGAAAATAATGAAACTTGGTAGTTTGTACAAATTATTTCTCATAATCACCTTCCTCACTGTTTACAGAATCTCTAATTTCTTCATATTTTGCTTCCTAATCTCCAAATTTTATCAGCTCCATCAGTCATTCCCTCAGGTTAAGTGGCTGGTCTTCATATCCTGAATATATATTTTAAGCCCTGAAGGTTAATTCCCATTTCTCCTTTACTTGCCAGTGATTGCTTTAAAGGCTGGATATAATTCAGGAGAGTAAGACAGAAGAAATCCAATCATAGGATTCTGAAGAGATGACAAAAGCCCTGCTGTTCTGCTCCAAGATGCCTTCCTGTTCCTCTGCAACTGCAGCCGCCATTTTGGGACTATGAAGGAAGGTCATGCCTGAGAGGAAATGCTCAAGATGGCAGAGTGGGAACATGAGAAAATAGGAAGGCAGGATCTTTTTTGAGGGGGTGGGCAGGATCTCCCTATGCAGTTCAAGCTGGTCTTAAACTCTCTTTGTAGCTGTTCTTGAACTCACTAGGATGACACTGATGACATTAAAAAACTAAATTAAGTACTTTCAAATTTCATTACTTAAAATATACAAATTAGGGTTTTTCTCACTGGCACCCAGAATCAAGTTAAGCTTCAACAATATCATTTTACAATATTTTTATCAAGAGCTAGAAGATCCTTTATTTATAACTAGGAAGGGAGGCCTCTTCCCTTAGTTTCCATTCCAAGACCTTTTCCCTGCTAGCCTGCAGCTCTATAGGATGTGCTACCATCACTGAGAAAGGAAGCCTATTCCAAGCATTAGGCAAACTAACAGGTGTATCAAATATGAAAGAGTTCAAGCAATTAATAGCATTCACTAGCGAAGAATAGACCAAAAGGGCAGGCTTGAATATACAGCATTTGTTAAATTTATCATTCTGGAATGCCTATCTAGAATTAATGAATCCTTAAGGTTATCCAAATGAAGCATGTAAGAGTGAAAATGTAGGCAGTAAGAATGGCTGCCAGAAATGGCCAAGATGAAATATAACAAAAGCAAATGAAAGTCACAGATTTACATCCTAGAAAATGCAGTGCACAAATTTAGAAAAGATCTAACAAGGAGCCCTAACTGGTTTTAACTGCTCTCCAATTTGGTATTATATGGCTGTCATAAATACGTGCTATCTCACCTTCATTAACTGAGCACAAAGTTCTAGGTCCAACTAGATATTAAAATTATATGAGAACATTTTAGAAACTAATTAACAAAATTCATTTTTAAAGTACTTTTAGGTTCACAGCAAATTGAGTAAAGATGTTAGGAGTTCTCATAAACGCTGCCTAGTCTCTCCGAACACACTCTCAATCTGCCCATTATCAACAGTCTAACCACCCACACTATCAGGCCTACGTCACAACTACTGAATGTTTACACTGACAGGTCACCCTCCCCCAATGCCCGTGGATTACATTAGGATTCATTTCTGGTGTTGTGCGTTCTATGAGTTTTGACAGATGTATTGTGACATGTACCTACATTGCAATACTGTACAGAGCAGTTCCAGTGTCCTAAAATCCTGTGCTCTGCCCACTCATTCCTCTCTCCTCCATAATCCCTGACAATCACTAATCTTCTTACTCTTTCCATAACTTTTCCTTTTTCAGAATGCCTACTGGTTTGACCCATACAGTATGCAGACTTTTCAGATTGGTTTTTACTAATATGTACTTTTAGATTTCTCCACAGCTCTTCCTACCGTTATAGATCATTTCTTTTTAATACTGAATAATTGTCCATTATCGAGATTTTCTAATTCATACCTATTAAAGGATATCTTAGCTTCCAAGTTTAGGTGATGATGAATTAAACTGCTTCAAAAACACGTGTGCAAGTTTTTGGGTGAACATTAATTCTGAGTTCATTTCGGCAAATACAAAAGGTACATGATTATAAGATCCTATGGTAAGAGTATGTTTAGTTTTTTAAGTCTTTCAAAGCAAATATACTGATTTATAGTCTTACCAGCAATGCATAGAATTATCTTGTGTTTCTGTGCAGCTTTTTAAAAACATCACCATCTAGACCCAAATCCAGCCCTAGTAAATCAGAATATCCTGAGAATGAACCTGGCTTTGCACATTTTATAAAATTCCTCAGACAACAGCCAGTGATGCTGGTCTAGACTCTCAATCAAGCAAGAACTGCTGAGGTTAACTCTGAGTAGATCTTTTAGGCAGGATATCAATTAATCCTGAGAACTGTGGTTTCAAAAAGGCATTTAAATGTTGAATTGCAATCTAGGGAAGCCAAACAGGAAGCTGTGGTATCTTGCAATCAAGTCACAGGATGAGGTGAAAAATGAGGACATTTTATCTATAAGTGAAAGGACAAAACCCTTCAGGAATATTGTCCCTAACCTTTATAGTAACAAACAAACAAAAAAAAATCCCAGAAAATCAGCACTTAAAACCTATGTCTCATCAAATCCAAACCCATAGTGACTTCTCCAAGAACATCTCCAAAATAAACACTAAACTCTGTCTCCAGTCTAAATTTCAAATGTTGTTTCCATGATTACCCCCAATTCACTTCAGAATTCACTAATACTGAACTACTTGTTTCCTTCTAAGCCCAAAGAATCCTGGCAACAAGCCTTACATTAAAGCTGTTCTTTTTTATCTAACTCCAGTTTTTCTTTTCTTCACATCTTCCTAAACACAAACTCTATTCCACGACCATTCCAAATTTTTCTTAAACACCTCAAGTCAGATAAATTCTCCATCCTCAGAAGTCTCACTGCATTTTACACTGGCTGCTGTCTTGTACTTAATATTTTCTTATTTTTTACTATGCTAGTACATGTTTGCAGTACATGATACCTTCATTCATCTTAGGGGAGTAGGCACATGGATCTAACATATTTTAATTGTTTTTATTCTCTTCCCCTCCCTCCCTTGGTTCTCCATCCCTAGATCTATTTCCTGTTTTCAAAAGGTTCTCTACCTGTTTCCTATTGTCTTTCCTTTTGTTTTTTCAAATCATTTATATTTCAGGTTTCTCATATAAGAGAAGTTATATAATATTTAAGCTTGTGTGTCTATTTCACTTGAAATGATAATATCAAAAAATTATAATATCAAGATTCATCCACTTTACTGCAAATAATGTATTCCTATTCATGGCAAAATAACACTCCATTAATTTATATCATTTGCTTTATCCATTTGTTTAATATGGGTATGTATTAAGGAAGGCACTTTCAAGATCCTTCTGTAAACATGGGTTACATTTATCAATGTGGTATGATGTCTTAGTACTTAATATTTTCTGCTTTGCTTTATACATGTATGTGTGTTCTTTGCCTAATAAGAATTCTTGTGCCTCATATCTCCTATCAAATTCTAATTTTATTCCTTCAAGTTTCCACCAAAATTGAAAATAGTAGCATATCACAGGAAATAGCCAATGAGTTTGATTAACTGAGTCCAGGAATGGTGGCAGATTTGAGCCACAAAGAAGTTACATGATTTATCTAGGATCATAAAGGTAATTTATGTTTTAGCCAGAATTTGCCTCAAATATTTTATAGAGCTTTTCATGTTATATGTTTTAAGTTATATCAAGAAGCATTTTGGATGCACTTGGATAACAAGGAACCAACCGTAGAAGAACATGTGGACTCTTAGGTTAAGTCTCCAAAGGGCAGGAAGAAAGCTGGGAGGAGTCTAAAATGTTTATTAAACTCAAAGCCTGCTGTTATTTTGGAACAATGTGTTGCCTCAGATAATTAAAGTCAAACTCAAGTACTGCAAACCAAAGCCTATCACTGTAGTTACAAATATACGGCTGTCAAAGTTCACAAATACACAGAAACCTCCATTTCTTTTCTTTTTTTTTAGAAACCTCCATTTCCAATTAAGCAGATCATATTATGGAGTTGAGAACACATTTCCTGAACAAATCAATCTGGAAAATGCTGTTTGCACGCCGTCATATTAAAATACAGCAATGAATCATTTTAACAGCTTCTCTTTCATGTCACACATGGAAAATAACAAAGGGAACCTCTTTAACCAAAATAGAAAAAGAGACATGAGAAGAAGAGTGTGGAATCAGAGAAGCTGGTAGACAAACTGTAAAAATACACAGATTTTTGTTTTATAGGTTACTGTTTTACCCAAAGTGGCAATTTATATGAATGACCAGCAATATACTTGAAGTTAACGTCAACATTAGAAAAGCCTTCACAATCTGTTCCAGTGAGGAAATCAATCATGCTGTAAAGCTGAGATACTCTTAAGGAATAATAAATTATGTATAAAATACTTTCAATGATTGACTTGTAAAAATGGGTTGGGTAGTCATGTTATAAAGAAGCCCAATACGTAAGGACAGCGAATTGCAAAAAGATAAAATTGGGTCTGATCATTTTAATGATTCCAACTGTGCTTGTGATAAATTTCATATAAAAGCATTGAAAACCAGACTTTTTATAAAAGAAAGTGTCCCTTCAGTAAAATGTGTGACCGTTTGCCAGTGACCCTGCACTGCTGTTACCACACTCAGGAACGTGGTTTTTAGTCACTTCTCATGATGTAAGTTGGAAAACTGGTGAAGGTTTGTGCCTGGCTCCCATTTGACCCTTTTATGTATTGAGTTCCTACTTTAAGAACAAATAAAATGTATATTATATAATTTATTTTAAATCATCACCATGGAAATCTTTCCATACAAAAATCTATCATGTCACAAGGTCAAGGTTGAAAATGTGACCATTTTAGTATTCATACCAACACTTGTCAGATAACTGAGTTCTATTTTTCTCTGAATTTTATATTCCAAGAAAAACAAAGTTCACACTGGATATCATTGTAGTCTTTGTTGTGAAGAATTTTTAAAGCCTATTTCATGTTAAGAAAATTTACTTGAAAGTTATGTTTGGTATTTGATTGATTCTATTTTTTATACATTGACAGAAGTAGGAAGATAACACCAGCCTTTCTATCAGACTTGACATGAAATACACTGCATTTGAAAGTTCAAAGGCAAAGCTGGAGTAGTCAGACAATTTTTCCATTCAAATATGAATCGATCACACTCTGAGACTGTTGAGATAACACAACACACCCTTAGCCAAGGGTGTAAAATGGAGCATTTCAAAACCTCTCAAAACATGCCCACACCAAATATATATATAGCCTGAATTTGACTGTTAGTCAAAAATGATTTCTGATCTTCTAGACCCAGTCTGAATATAAATCCAAAAACATATAAATTTTAAAAAGTGTGTAATATAACTTCCACCTATGGCTTAGGGCTTGACTACCCTAGATATTCTCAGACAGACAGTGATCCTTGATTATCTATAAGTCCCAGCACACTCAGCATCCACCCCCGCCACACACAAACCCATCTGCTTATTTGTTCATTTGAATGTACCTTTCATGTCTGCTTCTATGCCCCCTGCCTCACATCTGTATCCACTGGCATTGTAGAAGTATTTTAGATCCTCTGGACCAGGGACTCAGTTTGAAAATAGAGTGCAAAAACCGAAACTCAAAACCACGTTCACCTCACTTCTGCAACTGTATCCATATTGTCACACACACACACACACACACACACACACACACACACACACACAGAGTGTAAGTTCAGAAAATAAATTCTTGTTAAAGGATATTGCCTCGGTAGTATAATTAAAATTTCAGACTCCTATGAGTTCCATGCCACAGCTATGGTCTGCCTATGTTGCACCAAAATTCAGACACTAAAGTTCAATCATCAGTGTGGTAAGATTTAGAGGTACAGCCTTATGGGGTAATTAGGGCAGAGCCTTAGTGAATGGGAAATACAAGAGATGTATGAGAGCAGCTTGTCCTTTTTGTCTTCCATCTTCAGGTATATGAGGACCCAGCAACAAGGGGTAACCTTGGATGCAAAAAGTGATCCTTGCAAGGTAGTGAATCTTCTGATGCCTTGACCCTGAGCATCCTGGTGACCCTAACTGTAAGTAATAAGCTTCTGCTCTTTGCTAATTACCCAGTCTAAGGAATTCCATTAGAGTAGTAGGATCAGACTCAAACAGTCATCTTGGAGAACAATTTCGATTCCTTCAGTATTAATTTCTGCCTGCTTACAACTACTTTATCTTACTTGAACCTTAAATAATATCATGAAAATTGTTCTAAAGTTAATAACTAAAAGTATATTCTAAATCTCTTCCCTACTACATTAACTTCTCAGCACTAAGAGAAGAATTTCCTAATTTTATAAAATTCATTAACACATTTTACTTATGAAATAAAATTAAGAGAAGTACTCTTTTGAATGAAAATATGCAATACCAAGAAACACAGACAAAAGGCAGAAAGATACTGCTCTGGTAAACACAAAATGGAAGTGAATTGATTAAGAAGGGAAACAGAGTTTGAGAATTATGGTATGGTGTCATAAGGAAGAAGTTAGAAGCCATATATTTGTACATACTTATTTAGTACATATATTTTTCAACTTGGTCTTGTTACTTTATTCTTCTTCCAAAAGAAGAATAAAGAATGTCATCAGGAAGTAGCAAACTGGTAGCCACAAATCAATGTGCCTGCTGTACCAGGAAAGTAAAATTGATGGTGGAATCAATTGTAACTAAGGATCAATTGTTATGTTTATTCTGCTGTGCAGCTAGAAAATTTTCCAAAGACAAGTGCACAAATTTTGATTTAGTAAAAAGTTTTAAATTGAAAAAATCCCAGCAAAGAAGCAATTGTAAATAGTCAGAATAGATGAAATTATTTAAGGTCTTACATTTAGGAAACACAAAGAAATTTCTGTGTAAATTGTGATTAAATATATGCATGGACAGCTTTCTAAAAGCTCTATCTGCTGCTTAAGACTCTTTCAGCTTATTCATGTTTAAGATGCTTTATTTCAAGTTGAAAATTTTATGTCAAAATGCTAATGTTATTATTTAGCTTATAAAAGAATAAATTTTTCTTTTTTAAAAAAATGTCCTAACATTCTCAAGATATTTTCCATCTCCATTTTTAATGTCAAAAAATTACATATATGCAAACCATAAAATATGTAATTTACAACTAAAACACAAATTGCATGTAATCAGTGTTAGGTAATCAAAATCCCACAAACCAAAAAGAAATTACAAATACTGTTTCTTTCCTTTCACGAAAAGCAGTGGATTCATTTTTTGACCCTCTAAAATATGGTTGTTGAAAAAGTATATGAATGAACACATACATCAAACAGATACCAAAACTCATGAAGGCCATTTTTAGCTGTATACAGTAATAAAAAATTGAAGGCAACTTCAGAAAATAGCTGGCCCAGTACCATGCTGGGCTGACATCAAAGAACATGTTGATGTTAGAGTTACTTTCAGACCAAAAAACAGAAACAATAACTTAGTTTAGGGCTCTGATGATACTCAGATCTTACCCTGTGAATCTAACCATCTTATTCTAACAAAAGTAAAGGGAAACCTGCTGTCACAGGAGTGAACTGGAATTGGAAATAGCCAATATTCTTCAAGAAACGCTCCTGACAGATGGCAGTGTCTGCATGGCCCAGGGTCTTTGTTATGAAACTCTCATCCTCTGCTCCACTGTCCCATCCCTGACCCTCTAATGACCAGAATATACCCCAAGAATAACAGACACTTCAAGGAACTTATGAAACCAGAGACCTACAGAAACCCATGTTAGAGCACAGAGGTTGGGACTAGAGCATGGCTTGTGTTATGGTTTAGACCAAGAAGGACTGCCAAGCTTTCTTGCCCGTAGAGGCAGTGTTGAATGTGCTGTGAGGAGGTGCATCCTGTTCAGAAGACAGGTGTCACTGGGCACGTGACCTGAAACGGTCTCTCTCCCTCTCCAATTCTTCCTGGCTCCATGTGACCTTGTCAACATGACATGAGCTGCTTTCCTCCCCAAAACCCTTCTGTCATTCCCTTCCTGCCTTAGAGCCAGCTGACCAGACTGAAAACATAATGTTCCCACCTTCAAATAAAGAGCGTTGGATGTCTGTTCTATGGAAGAAAAAGTAATTGAAATAGCCTGAATATGAAGATAAGAACACTAGACTGGGTCAGAAAAGCAAAAGGGAGCTATGAAGCTACTGGTTTTATCAAAATATAGTACAATATAAGTCAAAGCTACTGTTCTCTTCCAGTTAATGAGGCCCTATTTTATTCAATAAACATGAGTCCATCTGTAGCTGGTCTGTTGATTTTTCTCTAGTCCATTAGTTAATTTTCTTTCCAAAGAAAACAGTTTTTCTTCCCAAAGCAAATAGAAATATTGAATCAATATGGCCTCTTACAGTAAAGCTTAGAGCACTTACACATTTGCATAAACATACTAATTATAGATGCTGTAATCAGTGACAGCAATACATGGGAGCACCTATCCATTTGAACCAGCATGTTCTTATTACTTTTCATTTTATTTATATCATACAACAAATATTGTTCGTCTGGCATAAGCAGTCAATCACTGATATCATTTACTGCCTGGTTTAAAAGATATGCAAACACAAAATAATGATAGAGTAAGATGAAAGTAAGATACAAATATTTGTTTCCCCTAATTTCTATTTAAATATCACCTGCACGCTTATCAAATAATTCATTTACCCTGAGTCTGGCAGTTAGCAAAAGGTACAATCTCTTCTCTCGTAGGAAAATCCTAAGATGAATTAATGAAGTCCTTCCTTACCCAATACCATAGAAGTCTGGGGTTGAAATGGTCCTTATAGATCATCCCATGTAATGAAGTGACTCCCAATTAAAAGAGACAAGGTCATAGGGGCAGGACCTGAACGGGTATCTCTTGGTCTCCAGTTCCTTCCTTCTCTGTGTTTCCTGATCAACATGTGTTATGGTTGATATACTGTATCAACCTGGAAGTTTAGAAATTTAACTGGCAATCTCAGTAGGGATCCAGGATTCTTACTTTGTACATATCATCCTGTGCAACGGCAGGCACAGCAATTTTGTGAGTGCCACACCAGCCAGCGGTTAAGGGGGTGGGCTATGTACACTATAAGGGAGGAGAAGAGGCTTGTTTCTCTCCTTTTTGCTCTGGCTTCCTTGAAGTGTTGCCCCAGTGTCATGCCACTCTGCCGTGGAACTAACTGATTACAGACTGAGACCTCCAAAAAAACTATAAGCTAAGCCAAAAAACTGTCACCTTCCCTTCCCTAATTTTGGATGTCAGGCATTTTGTAAACCAAGACAGAATTTCGCACCAGAGAAGTGGGGCTATTGCTGTGATTATTCCTGACCATGTGTTTCAAGAGCCTTTTGAAATGGCTTGTGGGAAGAGTTTGAAGATATCACCTGAACGTACAGAGCTGGAACACCTTAGGCTGTTGTGCATGGGAGATTCTGGTCAGAGCTCTGAATACCAGAAGGCTGATAGAAATTCTGCCAGTAGAGACCAGGTTCAGGAGGTTTCTGCTGGAAAGGACTGCATTGGTTGGTGGACTCCACATGATTTGTGTTATGGCTTGGCAGAAAGTTTGTCTTTATTTTGCTCATG